GTCCCAAAATGTCCCCAAATCCCAAAAAATGTCCCCAAAATGTCCCCAAATCCCCAAAAATGTCCCAAAAATGTTCCAAAAAGTCCCAAGAATGTCCCAAAAATGTCCCAAAATGTCCCAAAAATGTCCCCAAATCCCCAAAAATGTCCCAAAAATGTCCCAAAATGTCCCTAAAAGTCCCAAATCCCCCCAAAAATGTCCCCAAAATGTCCCCTCACCGGCTCTGTCCCCGTCCTGTCTCCTCCTGTGCTGGCCCTTGGTGGCCTTGGTGGCCCCCTGGGTGTCCCTGGTGGCCCCCTGGGTGTCCCTGGTGGCCCCCTGGGTGGCCTTGGTGGCCCTGGGGGTGGCCCTGGTGGCCCCCTGGGTGTCCCCATCGGCCTCGTCCTCGCTGGAGCTGAGCTTGGCCTTGGGACCTGTGAGATTAAAAAAAAATAAAAAATTAAAATTTAAAATTAAAATTAAAATTTAACACAAAAAAACATCAAAAATGTAAAAAAAAACCAAAAAAAAAAAGTCCCCAAAATAAATGAAATGAACCCAAAATGTCCAAAAATGTCCCAAATTATCCCAAAAAAAAATCCAAAACCAAACGAAATGAACCCAGAATGTCCAAAAATGTCCAAAAATATCCCCAAAAAACAAAAAAAAAATCCCAAAACAACTGAAATGAACCCAAAATGTACAAAAATAACCAAAATATCCCAAATTATCCCCAAAAAACCAAAAAAAAATCAAAACCAACTGAAATTAACACAAAATTAACCCAAAATATCCCCCAAAAAATCCCAAAAATGACTGAAATTAACCCAAAATGTCCTAAAATATCCAAAAATATCCCAAATTATCCCCAAAAAACAAAAAAAAAATCCAAAACCAAATGAAATTAACCCAAAATATCCCAAATTATTCCCAAAAAACTAAAAAAAAAATCCAGAAAACCCAAAATTAACCCAAAATTAACCCAAAATATCCAAAAATGTCCCAAATTATCCCCAAAAAACAAAAAAAAAATCAAAAACCAACTGAAATGAACCCAAAATGTCCCAAAATAACCAAAATGTCCCAAATTATCCCCAAAAAACTAAAAAAAAAAATCAAAAAACCCAAAATTAATCCAAAATTAACCCAAAATATCCAAAAATATCCCAAATTATTCCCAAAAAACAAAAAAAAAATCCAAAACCAACTGAAATTAACCCAAAATGTCCAAGAATAACCAAAATATCCCAAATTATCCCCAAAAAACCAAAAAAAAGTCCCCAAAATAAATGAAATGAACCCAAAATGACCAAAAATGTCCCAAATTATCCCCAAAAAACAAAAAAAAAATTTCCAAAAACAACTGAAATGAACCCAAAATGTCCAAAAATACCCAAAATATCCCAAATTATCCCCAAAAAACTAAAAAAAAATCCAAAAAACCCGAAATTAATCCAAAATTAACCCAAAATATCCAAAAATATCCCCCAAAAAATCCCAAAAACGACTGAAATGAACCCAAAATGTCCAAAAATACCCAAAAATCAAAAAACATCAAAAAAAACCAAACAAAAAAATTCCAAAACCCCCCAAATTAACCCAAAATCTGCCTCAAAATATAAAAAAAAAAATCACCAAAAATCCCATTTTTTCCCCAAAATCTTCATTTTTTCCCCAAAATTCCAAGTTTTCCTTCTAAAAATCTCATTTTTCCCCCAAAATCCCATTTTTTCACCCCAAATTCTCATTTTTTTCCCAAAATTCTCATTTTTCCCTCAAAAAATCTCAATTTTTCCCTCTAAAAATTCCATTTTTTCACCCCAAAATCCCGTTTTTTCCCCAAAATCTTCATTTTTTCACCCAAAATTCTTTTTTTTTCCCAAAATTCCCATTTTTCCACCCAAAATTCCAATTTTTCCTTCAAAAAATTCCAATTTTTCCCTCTAAAAATCTCATTTTTCCCTCTAAAAATCTCATTTTTTCACCTAAAAACTCCATTTTTTCGCCTAAAATTCCCATTTTTTTTTCCCCAAATCCCATTTTTTCCCAAAATTTCGTTTTTTCACCCCAAATCTCACCGTGCCCGTGGCCGTGTCCCCCGCAGTGCCTGACCCCCATTTCCCACCCCCAAAAATCTCCATTTTTTACCCCAAAAATCCCATTTTTTTTCCCAAAAACTCCATTTTTTTCCCTAAAATCCCATTTTTTTCCC